GGGCACCGTAGCCAGCCCGTGCCCCTTTAAGGGGTCCAGGGCCGGGAGGGGGGCATAGAGTTTCCCTGGTGTTGGCCAGAGTGGCCACCAGGGAAAGCTGGGGAGGGCTAGCCTCCCACTAGTTCGAATTAAGGGGCTACACACCCCTTAATTCGAACTAGTAAGTTCGAACTAGGCTTAATCCTCGTGGAATGAGGTTTACCTAGTTCGAACTAAGCGCTCCGTTAGTTCAAATTAAATTCGAACTAACGGAGCGCTAGTGTAGCGCCTATCAAAGTTAGTCCGTTAGTTCGTACTAACTTTGTAGTGTAGACATACCCTCAGAGTTCATCCTTCAATCCTTATGTAAACTGAGCTTCCTGTTTATAAAGCACTTGTGATAGCCCAGCTCGTACCCCAGGGACCTTCTCCTTCACATTTCTTGAGACGTAACCTCTGTTCAGACCATCTCAGCATTTCTGGATTGTGTCTACCATGAAAACCTTAGGGACATGTCCCACAGTAGTGCTAGCACTGCTGCCACTCCACTTGTCCTTAGTAATAGGAGATTTGCTCCCGTAATCTGACTGCAGGCATTTTTAGTACTATGTTGTTTAAACTAGCTCTGAGTGTAGATAAGATCTTGATGTGAAAAACTTCTCTCTGACTCTTGCTATTGAGACAAAGCTTCCCATACTGCCAAATCCATCTATCCATCCATGCACTTATGACTGTCCTCACCACAATATCTGTACGATGAAACTGTAATCTAGCTCTTTTCATAATTCACCCCAGCATTTTTTATTCCTTGTACTACTTACTTTCCCACCTTCAGCAGTAGTTATTTATCACTATAAAGCCTTTAGAGATTAAATTATTGTGATATGTGCCTGCAAAATGTCCTATAAAATACGAGGAAAATAAGGCCTCCAAAACAGTAGGGGGAGCACTACCTTTTTAGAGGGTGCAGTGTTTATTTTGTCCTGAAGAAGGCCAGCCATAATAGCTGACATAGTGAATGCTAGCTGGGAGCAGGACTTCCTTGAACTCATGGGAATACAAGACTCTGGCTGCCAGTATAGTGATGGGTGTGGTAAAATTCCTCATTAGACTGTGTCCAGCCAGTGCACAAAGGTGAAGGTGATGGTGGTGGGGAAGTGCGATGTGACCTCTCCCTTTTGTGCAGGGAGTGATTGTAGCCATTCCCTCTGTCTTTGGCGATAACAAGTTTGTGTCCATATTTTTGAGTATCAGTTAAAATAATGAAGCCAAAATAAACAATTTGCAGAAATAGCTCTTTCCATTATGAGCACCAGTGGCACAGATTTCTCTTCTGTTTTGCTGGTCCTTTACCAGATATGTCAGATTTATTTCCATATGGCATCTATATTTCTCAGTACACCCACACTGAATGTGTGTACTGACATACCGGTAGCAGTATGGAGCCACAGACACATGTTTCAAATTCTTTAGTCAACTGCAAAGGGGGCTGTAAGGCCTGAAAGAATGAACACAGACATATGGAATGACTGAACTTGTTGCCTGGAGAAAGAGAGAATTAAATAGAGATGCATTAAAATAGCATCAGCAGCTTAGATTTAAACAACAATTATAGCAGGTTCCTTTCTCTGCCCTCCAGACCAGCACAAACAGGTAGGCTGCTTTCGAGTTTATGAACACCAGTGTGTTGCTCAGCAAGTCCCCTCTACCAGTTCAGCTTTGTGCAGCAAAATACAACAGGAAACTTCCTCCTTAGCCCACTTTCTTAGGAGGAAGAGGGCAAGATCTTATGATCCTGGGATTCGGTATCTCTTTGCACCTGGCAGCCTCTCCTCTTGCACATCTCTCCTGTTCTTTAATTGTTCTCAGCTTATGGGTTGATTGCTTGTCTGCTTCCTGCCTAACTGAGCCATAGAATACCCATCCTCTGAATCAAGTCCACTCCAGTACGCTACAGACCAGAGTGGTAGGCCAGTGGTAGGCTCCTACCGTTCTGTTGGACTACTAATGAATAGAACCGGAGCAATGGTTGCTGTATTCTCCTTTAACTCTTAGCTTTGGACCTAGATCTTGTTGCAAGCATGCTGTTGAGATACCCCCTTGGAAGCCAATGTGAGTCGGTGGCTCACCTTCTCTGGTCAGGCAACAGGTTTGTGATGCTGTATGATTATGGCTGACCATTGATATTGTTGATATTGCCAGTGTTGTACAATTACAACAACTCTTGCACAGATTGTATCGTGGAAGGTGTCAATAGAAAAGTTATGCTCTATCAAGTAGGATTATGCTGATTAAATCCACGCAGCCTCTTTGTATCTGAAGTTATGAATATTGTCTATATACATTTATCTTATACATGTGTTGTATGCCTGGGTAATCCCTCCTTACCCTCCTCCCCCCAAAAAATTACACCACGTCTTGACAGCTGTGTGTTGATGATCCATTAAGAACATGCCACTCTCACAAAGGGCCATAGACAAAACTCCTTCACAAATTGCTCTTCTTGCGATGCCTCAGACTGCAAGGAGCCAGTGGCTCTTCCTACGATTCAGCAAAACATGCAGGGGCATGTAATATTCTCAGGAGATGCAGGGCTGCATCTTGGGCTGTGGGCTTTGTTTGCGAGAGTAAATTTCCATGCACATGGCAACGAATATAGAAGACTCTGGAGATCCCCATTCTGCCTCTTTCCTGTTCTAATTCTCTGGACTGTGGATTTACACCTAAAAGGAGCATCTTGAACTATGGATTGAGGACATTCCAATCTTCTGTAAGTTAACAGAGAGACTTTACAAGCCAGCACTTGTATATCAGGTCTATTCCATCACTGCTACAGGCCTCATATAAGGACTGTGCAATCATTGGTATATATATGAACTATTAGCGACTTTAATTCCTTTTCTTTTATTAATAAATCTTTAGTTAGGTCTAAGGATTGGTTGGCAGGGTGATATTTGGGTAAGATTTGTGCAGTATATTGACCTGAGGTTAAGTGTTTGATCCTGGGGGATTAGTAAGAGCCTCGTGTATGGTGAATTGGGTTTTCAATACCCTATCGCCATATTAGACCTGTCTGTTTGGATCAGAGCCAAGAGCTGGGATGTCTAAAGGGGACTGTGACTGGTTTCTGGTTAACCAGAGTGGTACTGCAGAAGCTCTTTTGTTACTGGCACTGAGACTCTAACCATAGATTATGCCACCGGTTTGGGGGATTATCTGCCCTAGTTTATGTTGTCTTCCCTGAGGGTGGCATTCTCATTGTGGTGCATACCAGGGAATTGGTCACAAAATGTTCTCAGAATAGTAGATCTTGCAAATCTAGAAGTGTCCCTCTGTAGTAGTGCTACCTCATGGTCGGCAGGTCACAAAGCTAACCAGGTGAATTATCCCACACCCACACAGGGGAAAGTCTTTGCCATTTATTCTGTTCATATGATGTGTAAGCACCTATTGCCATAGCAACTGTGTTAATGGAGAGAGCAAAATCCAGACTGAAATTAATCAAACAGATGCTGTGCTACAATAATACCCCCAGGTTCTCCTTTGAAAATGGAAAGGTAGAAGCAGGGTTGCAATTTAATGAAGGTTTTCTGAGAAGCCAGGTAGTTTTAAGATTGGTGAAGGGCCTGAAGCAGACCATTCCTAGTCACAAAGAGGCTTAGCTAGCAGTTAGAGTGTATGGTAAGGGCATTTCTTTGGTTTGATGTGATTTAATTTTTGAGCTTTCTGTCACAGTTGATCGTAACTATGTTTCTGCTTTCTTATATTTCCTGTCCCGAAAATGAGGGGCAGAAGTGAAAGTGAAGAGGGTATAAGGAATAAGGTAGTGCCAATGAGTAGAAGGTGGTGTTCCAGTGAGTACAGTGGATGTGTCTGAGGACTATGATCGCAGTAAGTTACAGCAGCACCAGGCATATTTATTGTGTGATTACCAAGTGTTGCTGAGACACTTGCCTGACATACTTAGAAACTGGCTTTCTTCAATTTGTCTTTTTAAAACATGGGATGTTCAAAAATTTTAAAAACAACAAATAGTCTAGCAGCACGAAAGCTCATGATACCATCTACATGTTTTGTTAGTCTTTAAGGTGCTGCTAGACTATTCGTTGTTTTTTAAGCTTTTCCAGTTACAGACTAACATGGCTACACCTCTGACGCTATGTCTAGATTGCAGGCTTCTTTCGAAAGAAGCTTTTCCGGAAGCGATCTTCTGAAAAATCTTCTTCTGAAAGAGAGTGTCTACATAGCAAAAGCTCATCGAAAAAGCCATCTGGTTTTTCAAAAGATAGCATCCACACTGAATGGATGCAATCTCGCATTTAAGCTGTGATTACTGTGGACGGAGTGGACACCAGGGCACCTGTGCTTTTTCCTCTTTCCTCTTCTTTCGAAAGAACTCCCTCTTCCCCGTCTACCCCGCATTTTCCCAAAAGGGCTCTTTCGGAAAAAGGTTTCTTCCTCATAAAAAGAGGTTTACCAATGTTGGAAAACCCCCTCTGTTCTTTTGATTTTTTTTTCAAAACAATGCAATTGCAGTGTGGATGTAAGTGAAGTTTTTTTGGAAAAACCGCTGTTTTTCCGAAAAAACTCTGCAGTGTAGACATACCCTGAGACACAAGGAAACAGTTAGTTTTGGCAGTTTATACTCTTCTCCCTACCCCATCTACACCTTAATTCTTGCTACTTTTAGCTGAAAACTCTTCTTCTCTAGAACTTTTATTTCCTTCTGCTCTTCTATAAATCCAAATGACAGGGTCAGTGTAGGTAGCTGTTCTCTGCACAACCTGTATCCAGACTGGCAACCACTGAGATTTTTAAATCTTCAAACACTGGGTTGATAATGGAACAGCAACAAGCATGTAGGGACCAAATCGGAAAGGCTAAGGTTCAAAATACCTCACAACTAGCAAAGGATAAAGAAGGCAATAAAATGAGGTTCTATAAATACATTAGTTGTAAAAGAAAGAGGAAGGAAAGTATAGGCCTGTTACTGAGCAGGGAAGGAGAGTGAGAAACATGTTGGCCTTCTCTGTGTCATATGTTAAATGTCTTCTTTGCTTAAGTCTTAACGAAAAAGGTTAATGGTGACCAGATGATTAATACAGTTGATATTATTAACAAGGGAGAGGGATTTGGGGTTGGAACATGGAAAAATAGGTTAAAGAATGTTAAGATAAGTTAGAGGTATTCACATTGATCGGATCGGATGCAATTCGTTCTAAGAACTAGCTGAAGCAATCTCAGAACCACTAAAAATGAACTTTTTGCTCATGGAGACGAGGGGAAGTCCTGGATGACTGGAAAAGAGGATGGCGATTGGTTGTTCTCCATATTCATCAAGGGTGGGGTATGATGTAGCTGATGTAATTTGCAGGAAAGGGATTTAGATTGCATATTAGGAAACATGATTGAACTATGAGGATAGTGAAGCACTGGGACAGGTTATCTAGGGAAACTGTGGCGTACCCATCACTGGTGATTTTTATCTGCAGTTCTCAAACTTCATTGCAGTGTGACCCCCTTCTGACAACAAAAATTACTATATGAGCTCATCAGGGGAGTGGGACGGGCAGAGCCTGAGCCCCTCCACCCGAGGCTGAAGCCCTCAGGTTTCGGCTTTAGTCCCAGGCCCAAGCAAGTCTCATGCTGCCTTTGGTGACTCTATTAAAATGGGTTGCAACTTGTGACCTATTTTGGGGGTCCATCCCCAGTTTGAGAACCACTGGGTTAGATGAACATCTGTCAGGGTTGGTCTAGGTGCACTTAATGCTCACCTCAGCACAGAGAGATGGACGAGAGCCCTACATTTCTGGGATTCTGTGAAAGCTCTAAGAAGACTTTTCATAACAAGACACCAGAAGAATGTCCTGGCACTGCTGTAAGACAAATGCCTTTGTACAGGGAACGTGATGGAATCTGGTTGCTTGGAAGTAAAGCTAAGCCCTCAGGAGGGGCATTGCTAACCTATATTTCTAAGAAAGGAACCTTTTGGTTGGGTCCCACTCCTGCTTTTATCCAAGAGAATGGAATAGTTTCCCACTGGAGTTGATGGAACAGATTCTGCTATTAGATTCACAAAGGACTCTGCTACACAGGGGCTGACTTCACCTCCAGTGAGGGGTGATTTATCCCCCCCCATCCAGATCCTGCCTCCCCCATTCCACCTCTTCCTCCAAACCCGTGCTCTGCCCCATCTCTTCCCCACCTTCTCCACTGAGTGTGTCCCATCCCTGCTCCTCCTTCTCTCACCCAGAGCTTCCTGAATGCTGCAGATCAGTTGTTCGTGGCTGGGAGGGTGGGGGAGGATTTGGTCAGTGTGTCCAGCATTGGGCAAGAAGCAATGGGGAGGCGGGTGGGGAGGTAGCTTGACTGTTGGTGGGTGCTCAGCACTCACTAATTATTTCTGTGACTGCTCTAGCCCTGGAGACCGATGAAGTCTATGTGCTGCTGTACTCCATTTTGTCAGTGTCAAAGGCTGAGTTAAGTTATATTTGTCCTGGCATGGAGAAGGGGAGGACAAACAATGTCCTTGTACCTTAAGAAATATGAAGGTTCATTTTTTTTTCACTGTGATGGTTGGAGCTGTTGGTATTTGCTCAATAAATCTGAAACTAAAAAGGGAAAAGGAGTTCTTTTACCCCCACTGTGTTTTTATAGCTAGAAAGTTTGGGGGTTGGTTCATAGTGGCAAAGTAATATACTGCTTTTATTCTCTTTGTTATAACAAATGTGATGTGATTACAAAGCAAGGGCAAGAGGCTGCTGCACTCTCCTTTATTTATTTTTTGTTAAAAAAAATGCCCAAAGAGACAAGTGGTTTGGCTGTCTAGAGGGGAGAGGATTATTATAAGATGGGGGTGTATTGTGAGGCATGGTGCCAAAGGCTGAATGGCTTTACCCACCTGCTCGGTGTAATAATCTCCCAGAAATGCACTGCCTGAGGTACTGTGTTCCTATTATGAAATTTTAGGAAAAAATGGGGAATAAAGGTCACTTCTGTTCAGTTACTGTGGATTAATGGTTTAGGGCTTGCTCTGACATCATTAACAGCCAATCAGATGTCTCCCTTAGTGTTCAAAGTTCTAAAGCCTCATTTTCTGTCTGAAAATGCTTGCACCATGCCTGTTTCCAACCAGTACAATCAGCCTTTTGCCTTAGTAAGAACAGATAGCACTGTTAAAAAGCAAGACAGTGTGCAAGTTTTCCCCAAAGTCCTTAATAAATACACTCGTAATATTCTTCTTTCAGTAAGGTCTGGCTTGAGAAGAGAGAACTTTCAAATTCTCTCACCCAGAGCTTCCTGAATGCTGCAGATCAGTTGTTCGTGGCTGGGAGGGTGGGGGAGGATTTGGTCAGTGTGTCCAGCATTGGGCAAGAAGCAATGGGGAGGCGGGTGGGGAGGTAGCTTGACTGTTGGTGGGTGCTCAGCACTCACTAATTATTTCTGTGACTGCTCTAGCCCTGGAGACCGATGAAGTCTATGTGCTGCTGTACTCCATTTTGTCAGTGTCAAAGGCTGAGTTAAGTTATATTTGTCCTGGCATGGAGAAGGGGAGGACAAACAATGTCCTTGTACCTTAAGAAATATGAAGGTTCATTTTTTTTTCACTGTGATGGTTGGAGCTGTTGGTATTTGCTCAATAAATCTGAAACTAAAAAGGGAAAAGGAGTTCTTTTACCCCCACTGTGTTTTTATAGCTAGAAAGTTTGGGGGTTGGTTCATAGTGGCAAAGTAATATACTGCTTTTATTCTCTTTGTTATAACAAATGT